TTTTGGAGATGGTCAGTCTCAGAGGCCTGTTAGACACCTGTGTGTAGGCTATTAACAATAACAGTAACTTAAAAAATAGGAACCAGGCACACAGCTCTTACCGTGTGCTGTACACCATTTTAATCATTTAATCCTCGAACCAGCACTACGGGGTGGGTATTAGTATTACCCTTCTATTTCCCAGATGAGGAAATGGAGGTGCAGAGAAGTTAAGTAACTTGCCCCAAGGTTACACAGCTGAAAGGTGGCAGAGCCAGGGTTCAAACCCAGGCAGCTTGGCTCCAGGTAGCGATCCTAGCCACCTTCTACCCCCAGCTCTCTATGAAGAGAAACAGAGGCTAAGAGCCTAGAGTGGCAAGGATGCTGTTTTATGCAGGGTGAGCAGGGAGGGCTTCCCTGATGAAGTGACATTTGAGCAGAGACCTGAAGGAGAGGAGGCAGCAAGCTACGCTGACATCTGTGGGAAGGGTGCTTCAGGCAGAGGGAACAGCATGTACAAAGGCTCTGCGGTGGGCATGAACTTGGCATGCTACACCATGGGCACCCTGAGTGCATCCGGTTCCCGTCTAGAGGATGTGTACGTGCTGTTCTCCCTGCCAGCAGCGCTCTTGCCCGTTCCCACATGCGATGACTTCTCTCATGGAGTCCTCACGTTCCACTGTCTCCCAGGCAGAGCGGATTCTTCCTCTGTGTGATCCGCTGCAGCGAATAACCTGTCTGCCCCTGCAAATCTCTTCTCTCTGCGTCTTCAGCCTCATACTCCTCTGCCCTGTTCTAGCTGTGTGACTTGAGCAAGTTACTCAATCTCTCTGGGTCTGTTTCTGTAGCTGTAAAATGGGGATATTTCACTCTCAAAGTAAAATAGCCTCAAAATCCACCTACTCTCAAAGGCTTCTGTGAGGATTAAATGTCAATATATGTAAAGAATTAGAAAAGTACCTCCGGCACATGGGAGACACTCAACAAATGTTAGCTATTAGCTAGTGTGTCATCCTTCTCCCTTCCCAAACCCCTCCCCGTGACCTCATGTATCACCATGGTCTACACCATCTGGCTCCCATTACCTCTCTGACCTTGCCTCCTAGCCCTCCCGCCACTCTGCTCCAGCCACACTGCCTCCTTCATGTTCCCTGAACACGCCAGGCACAATCCCATCTCAGGGCCTTTGCATGGGCTGTGCCTTCTGCCTGGTACACTCCTCCCCTGGACATATGGCTCCCTCCCTGACCTCCTTCAGGCCTTAATTCAAGAGTCACCTTCCAAGTGAGGCCTGCTCTGAGCGTAAGATTTCAACCACTCCCATACTCTATTCCTACCTCCCAGACTTCATTTTTCCTCCTTAGCACCTGTTTAACACACCATCTAATTTTACTTATGTGTTTTATTTATACAGTCCGTCTCCCCCGCTTTTAGCAAATGTCTGTTCGGCAAGGGCAGGAATTTCTGTGTTGTCCCCTCCCATGTTCCCAGCACCTAGAAGAACGCCTGGTATTCAGTAGGCGCTCAGTAAGCTGGTTGAATGAACGGTCCCAACGAGCCTCTTCACTCACTCTCGTATGCCCCCTTCATCTCCATCTGCCCCCCAACCCTGATTTGTCTGAAATTATATTTTTTCCCATTCATCCGTGCAATAAATTCTTATTGAGCACGTACTACACACTAAGTATAATTTCAGGCGCCGGAGGCACAGCAGTGAAGAGGCAGACAAAATTGTAAGCTCCTATGGGCCTCCCACTCTAATGGGGAGAGATGAGAAACCGGTGAACCCCACAGTGTGTCCGACTGTGAGAAAGCGCAAAGGGACAAACCAAGCAGAGAAGGGACAGGCTGACATTTGAACAGAGCCCTGAAAGGAACCATGCAGAGCTCGGGGGTAGTGTTCCAGGCAGAAAAAACAGCCTGTGAAGGCCCTGAGGCTGGACGGCGCCCGGGGTGTTCGAGGATGAGTGAAGAGGTCAGTGTGGCCAGAACAGAGCTGGGGAGGAGGTGGAGCAGGGGAGGCCAGGGAGGGTAGCTGACTTCTTATTAACTCCCGGGTATTCTTTATTCACACTGGAGGGGCTTCTGGTTCTGATTCCCTCATTTTACAAATGAGGAAAGAGGCGCAGAGAGAAAGCAGTGACCTCACTAAGGTCACATAGCTGCTGGGATGGGAGGTGGATGGGTGCTGAGACAAGGTGTGGAATGGAGACAGCTCTGCAGGCAGAGGGAACAGCAAAAACAAAACTTGGACATGGGAACTAATTTGGTTTTTAAGGAGAGGGGCCTCACGTGGGATGGGATGAGGTGAGAGAGGAGAGCCCCCCAAATTATCCTGTGTTCTGAGGGGCAAGCTAGCCTGGTACTTACTGGGTCCCCTTAGAGTAAGGCTTTCAACTTCCCTATGCCGAAGTTTCCTCAGTACATATCTCATCGGGTTGTGGTGAGGATTAAATGGGCTCATTAACATAAAGCACTTTGCCTGGTACACAGTAGGTGCTCAATAAATGTTAGCTTCTATTGGCATTGTCACTAATCTATTTATTGTAGCAAGGCACAATGTCTCAGCTGTTAACAGTGCATATGAGGAGGTGCGTTCTAGAGTAAAAAAGACCTGGGTTCAACAAGAATACAGGCTGATCCACTATTAAGAAGGAGGAAGAGGGGCAGGGAAGGCCACAGACTGATCTGCCACAGGGAAAGGCGATGGAAAATCAAAGCACACAGGCTGACCCTTCTGGAGAAGGGATTACAAAGCACTGGACTCATGGGAGGGTACCTGGGGAGGTGGGAATGCAAGCACACGGGCAGCAGGAAGGCCAATGAGCAGATCCACTGCAAAGCAAGGTGGGGGTGTAAAGGCTTATCTTCTGTACTGGCAGCAAGGGGAGCAGAGAAGAACGTTAACTCCTGCACAATAGTGGAGGAGGAGAAAAGCCATCACACGGACTGATTAAAAGGAGATCGGGCCAAGGCCAAGGACTGGGCTACTGAAAATGAGGGGATAAAAAGCACTAAAGTGACCCATTATCAACAGGAAGGGAAGAGCCCAAGGACTGAAGTGACAGTGTGCAAAAATGGGAGGATAGGGCTTGACCATGCAGACTGATTTGCTGTAAAATGGGGGTGTGTGTGATAAAGCCATGGACTGATACACTGGAGAACTGGAGGAGACAGGAATACAAATTCACACATTAACTCACTGTTAAAGAGGGGTGGGGGGTCCAACGCCACGGACTGCTCCACTACAAGAAACAGGAGGTGTGGAACAAACAAGGCCACAGACCGGGCCCCTGAAAGTTGAGGATAGGAGAAATACAAACACTCAGACGCACCTACTGTCAAGGAGTTAGACAAGGCCAGAGACGGGTCCCCTATAAGTGGGGGTGGGGGCAAGACCATGGACGAGTCCACTGTAACGTGGGGTGGGGAGAAATATAAGCACACAGACCGATCCATTATACAACAGGAAGGGGGGTTAGACCACGGTCAGATCAACTACAAGGGGCGAAGGGAGGGGACAATACCACAGGCAGGTCCACCAGCCGCGGTGGCGGCGGTGGGAAGTCGAACACCGCAGGCCACGGGCCAAGCCACATCCCTCGCGCGGGGGCGGGAAGGATACGTGGGGTCACGGACCGGGCCCTCTACCCTCCAGGCCCCGGGCTCACCTGTGCGTAGCGCAGCGGCGATGTTGGCAGCTCCGGGGGGCGGGGGCTCCATGCGCGGCCCCACCGCCCCCCAGGCCCGGGCTCCGAGGCGGCGGCGGCGGTGGCGGTGGCGGTGGTGGCAGCGGCGGCGGCGACGGCGGCAGCACCTAGAAGCCGCCCCTGCGTTTCCCCACCACTCACGTGGGCCCCTGGAGGAGGAGCCTAGCGATCCGCCACTCGACGATTGGCCAAAGTGCCATGGATCGCCCGCGCGGCTTCTAGGGTTGGGGAGGCGGGCCCTGCCCCACAGAGCTATGCCGTGATTGGCCCAAGGGGAACTGATGGAACGCAGACGGCTGTCTGGGTTCCAAGGGGGTGTGCTCGGCCCGGCCGGTGCTCCGCGCTGATTGGCTCAAGGAAGACTGATAGACAATAGGCAATTGACTCGGTTCAGGGGCGCCTGCTTCGCACTGATTGGCCTATATGGGATAGATGGAAGACAGCCAGCCTCCGAGGGTAGGGGTGGGTGGCCGTGCTTTCTGCTGATTGGCGGATGAGGGACTCCTAGACAGCTGCCAAAACACCAACGGGGCGGTGCTGCCCTCCACGCTGCTCAGCGGAAGCTGGACTTGTATAGAAGTAGGTGTAGCAGCCCACAGGGAGGGGGTCGGGCCAGGGCTCTTCGTAGGCGGGCAGGGTAACTCTATAGTGATTGGCTAGAAAAGACCAATTTAGAACGGAGCAGAGGTAGGAGGGCAGGGCAGCTGCCAGACACGAGAAGTAGCGTTGAGGGCGGAAACTAAATGCCTACGAGGAGGGCAGGGTCGAGCTGCAGCCAGTTATAAAGGGGTGGAACTTGGCTCTGCATTGATTGGTGGAAGCTGGACTCGACCTAGAAAAGGGGCCGGACCAGGGAGGGTGGGATCCGGCTCTGCGGCCATTGGTGGAAGCTGGAAGTATTTAGAAGTCGAGAGGGCCATGGGTGTAATTTAAGAATGTAAGGTACCTGAGGAACGATTGGGGTGTGGGACAGGGGTAAACCTTAGGGCCAGGAGTGGAAGGCTGATTGCCTTGGGAACAAACGTACACCCTGAATCGGCCCATTCTCTATGGTAATTCAGAGTGGTGTCCAGCAGAAGAAATAGAAGGGTCAGGTGGAGGCCCAGGTTGCCAAGGCAACAGAAGAGAGGACAGAGCAGAAAGTCAGGTGTCAAGTGCTGCCAGGCAACAGGCTGGAGGTGGGACTTCAGGGGCGCTTGAAATGTTCCACACGGAGGCTGGATCTCTGAGCCTCCGAGTAACTTTGTGCTTTAGAAACAGGATACCTTAGCAAACAGCAGGGGTTAAGGGGGAAAAGAAGGGCCATGTGACTCAAAGGCATTCAGGCTTTTTAATGTCAGGGGAAGGGGGAAGAAGTCAGTGGTGAGGCTTCTCGGGGAAATTCTGCAGGCCTTGTAGTTCTCTAAGCCCCTGAAAAAGAGGAGAGAATAGATGGAACAGAGACTGCGTCCAGGCCCCACCCCAGGCTTGCTCTGACCTCCCCTCCCTCAGGGCCAGCCTGGCTCCAGCTGGGTTCCAGTTTAAAGGGAAAGATGGTCATCCCCATCCCTGGCTCCCACCCTTCCTCAAGTCACCACTTTAAACATTTGGAGACAGAGTCTGGGAGTGGTGAGCTGCTCTCACCTCTAGCAACATGTGGATATGGGCCTTGATATTCATGGAGTCCTTGGTGAGGCTGTTGCTGAGCCTGGAGAAAAGAAACAAGAAAGCGCGGAGTGGGCTGCACTTATGATCATGAGGGTGATGCTCCCTCAGCACTTCAAGAACTGCCTACGCCCTGGGTCACTTCCACAGGGCAGGCGGTAGGACATCCTCCTGCCTGACCCGCTCCTGTGCAGAGACGCCTGGCCGCCACCTGGACTGCACTGATTCAAAGACATTTCTGGAATCCCTACTCTATGCCAGGCAGTTTTAGGTGATGGGGAGAGAGCAGCAAACACAAATCTTGGCTTCATGGAGCTCCAATTATTGTTAAGAGGGACAAGAGATGGAGCAAAATATAGAGTATGTCAGATGGTTATAAGTACAATGAAGAACTTAAATGATGAGAGAGGATAAGGAGTACAAGAGTCGGGGCTGCCATTCTAATTAGTGATCAGGGATGGCTTCACTGAGAAGTGTTTGAGCGAAGACAAAATGAAGAAGCAAACCATGTGGCTCCATGGAGGATGAGGGTGCCAGACACAGGGCAGCAGCAAAGGTGCCGAGGTAGGAGTTGGCAATCTGGGAAACAAACCTGGCATGTTTGAGGCATAGCAAAGAGGCCAGTGTGGCTGGAGAATCAAAACACTGCGTGGCACACAGTAGGCACCCAATGTATGTTGAATGAATAAGTGAATGACTACTCCACTGAAAGGAACCTGAAGTCCTGAAAAGGTGGTTGAGTCTATGTTTAAGGACAGGAAATTAACGCAGCATGGTGTTGTTGCCAGAGAGCAAGAATGCTTTCAAGAATATCTGAGATAGCGCCCCAAGAACAGAGGAATGATCTCGATCAGCTTCTAAGGGACAATTTGAAATCAAAGAGAACAAAATTAGTTAATGGTGCAAGCTTAGTCTATGAAAGGCAATGAGTTCAACACTTAAAAAAAGGAGAAAAATAGAAAGTTCACCAAATGCTAGTTGTAACACAAAAGGGATATGTTTAATTTATTGCTACTGATTTAATATGTAAGGCAGTGTTAGTAGTCAGAGTTATTCTGTTTTGTCTATAATTACATATCTGTTTATGGGGGTGGATGTGTACTCCTTTCTGTGTAATCAGGAAAGAATATACACAGAGACCTGATCCTCCCATTCTCCATACAAATATACTAAGAACAGGAAGGACTGACAGATTGTTTGGTTATAAAGTAATCTGAAACAAAGTTAGTTCAAAGTGTGTCCCAAGACACCGAGTATTTTAAAGAGGAGAGTGAGCTACACAGACTCAAATCCTCATTTCCTAGAAAGATTAAGTTTCCAGGGAGTCCTACTAATTATAATAAAGTAATAAGAGATTCAATCACATTTCTCATCACACTAACAGACCAGGTCAATATATTAAAAAGACTAGACAAGGGGGCAGGCACTGACAACTTAAATACCTCATTTTGGGGAAAGTCATCAAGTCTCAAAAAATTAAAATCTATCTGAGAGGCTCAGGAATCCTGTGACACAACAAGGAAAGCTTTGTTATAATAAACGGACTTGGTGTAAATGACCACCAGTTCAGAACTGTGCTGGCCCACGAAAGCAGGCCCCTCGACCAAACGGTTCACCAACTGGTCTGCTCACTAAGGCTTAGAAATCTCAGCAGGTCTGGGGCTCTTTTGGGTCTCCTAACACTGAAACTCTGGAAAGGTTAGAAAAGAAAAGAATTACTGAAACCCTAAGGGAGGCAACTCTGGAAGAAACGAATGTAGGAAGAAAGATAAATATAATCCAGGAGGAATTTTAGATCAGTGGTATTCACACTTGTGAGATGTTAATTGAGGTGTATTGCAGTGTCCCCTCTGTCACTCCAGCTGAGCCACACGCGCCTCTCCTGGCAGTTCCTCTAACACGACAGACACACTGGTCCTCTTGCCAGGAATGCTCTTCCCCAGGCGGCCCCATGGCTTGTTCACTCAACCAAGTGACTCAAGTGTCATTTCCTCTAGGAGGCCTTCCCTAGCTACATTTCAAACCTCTCATCCACACTCCCAATTCCCCTTCCCTGCACAAAACCTTGAACTCAACTGGAGCCCATCCTTTCCCCCCACACACCTCCCCATCACCACCGACAGAGATCTGCTTCAATCTGTTCCAGCATACCTTTTCACATTCATTCAACAAACATGGAGTGCCCCCTATATGCTCTGCACTATTCTAGTCACTTCGGGTATAGACAAAATATCTCCCTCTGTAAAGCTTATATCCTAATGGGAGGAGGCAATGCACATTAGAAAGAAGTAAATTACACAGTAAACATTAGGAGCTCATGAATGCCAGGGAAAAAAAGAAAAAGTGGAACAAGGGAGGGGATCAGGAGTGCCAGGGGGTTGTAATTTGAAAGTTAGGTTACAGAAGGCCTCCTTGAGGAAGTGACATTTAAGCAAGACTTCAAGTGAGTGAGGAGAAAGGAAGCCACGCAGGCACCAGGGGAGCGCGCTGCAGGCAGAACAGCCAGTGTGACCGCCCTGAGGTGGGATCACTCTGGGAGTGTTGAAAGCAGCTGGCGAAGGTCAGTGTGGGGAGGGCACAGTGCAGGAGCGAAGGAGTGGGAAGCTTAGCAGGAGGTGAAGTCAGACGTAGCTTGTTTTATTATTACTGATTTAAAGGGTGAGAGCTCCCGGAGCTGGTCAAAGCTGTGCGTGTGTCTAACAGTCTAGTCCTCCGATAATGGAAGCCTTCAAAGGAGCCCTTCTGTCTCTTCACTGCTGCCTCCCTGCCGCCCAGCACAGAGCCTGGCATACAGCAGATGCCAATAAATGTTGGCGTGAATGACCCATACAAAGACCATTTATTGAGTGCTCATGATGTGCTGTACCTGGGGCTGAGCCTTGCACCCCCGCTTTCCTCAGCCCTAGGCCTGAGGAGGCGGGGAGGTGGGTCCCTAAGTACCGTCCCAGGCAGCCATGGGGAGGGGGAGAAGGGTGTTGTGAATGCTGGAGTTTCTAGACACTATCCTCATGGAATAGACTTACTCTGTGAGAAGATTGCTCTTACGGTCGATGAACCTGAGAGCTTCTGCCAGTGTCAACTCCAGGAAAAAACCATAGCCGAGGGCCACGTAGATCCGTGAAGTGTCTGGGCTGAGGAAACAGCGGTTAGAGGACGTGCGGGCAGTCCTTATCACTGTTTAGCAAACCACACAGTTCCTCTGAGAGCCGTTTCTACTCCCCTCCCCCCACCTTCCCCAAACGGCAGCCCAGGGAGGGCAGGGACTTGGTCCTGTTGTATTCACTGTCACAGCTCCAGCACTGGGCACAGTGTCTGGTGCATAGCAAATACTCAAAACACATTTGCTGAGGGCAGGAAGGGGGAAGCCGAACCCTGTGGGCTCAGAGGGATGGGGAGACACTCACACCACTGTGTCGACGAAGAAGTTACAGCCCAAGTCCACCTGCATGTATAACTCTGAGTGCTTAGCTTCCTGTGGGGCCAGGAAAAAGAGGGAGGGCTCAGTGGTCAACTTTTGGGTCAGGCAACAGGTTTTGGTCTGGGGTATCTCCCCCTGACACCCCTTCTTTGTCCCCCACGCCCCACAATGGTACCTAACCCTGGTGTCTTTACCTGGAGTCGCTCAATGACGTTTCTCAGTTGAAGGTATTTGGCCAGCTGCTCATATACCTTGTCACGATGCTCCAGCACTTTTCTGATGGGACAAGAGTAAAACAGTGACCAATAGGAAGCCCTGTCCCTCTCGGAATACCTCATATCATGATCCTCTGAGACCCTCATGTCACCATGCCCCGAAGAGGCGTTTTAGTGCAGAAGTTAAGATTCGGACTCTGGGTCAGCCTGCTGAGGTCTGAATCCAGGCTCTCCTTTTTACTAGCTGTGTGACTTTGGCAAGTAAGTAACCTCTCTGGGACTCAATTTCCCCATCTGTAAAATAGGGATGACAAGTATTACCTCATCGAGTCATTAGGAGGATTAAAGAGTATTTACTATAAAGCACTTAGGATAGTCCCTGCCAAACAGTAAGTTCTATATATGTGTTAGCTGTTATTTATTAGTAGTATTATTACACTCTACTCCCAAAGCCTCCCTCCAATCAGAATGTCTTATTCTCACCCTAGAAAAACCCTCCATCCCTTTTAGGATGCTCATAATCCTAATTCTTAATACTCTACTTCCTGCTCAGATTAATAATGATAGAGATAACAATTGTGCACACTCTGAGCCTCTAGTATCCATATGAAACCCTTCACAAGGACTGAACACATTAAAAACTGAAAACTACTGCATGAGGAAGGTTCCATCAACTTTCCCATTTCACAGATGAGGAAAACTGAGGCTCAGAAAGGCGAGGCGAGGGTCAACGTGTTCACACGAATGGCGAAATCGCCAAGCCAGGATTCGAACCTGAGAACTCTGGATTCGGAAAAGTAGCTCTTAACCACTAAGTGGCATCAGAGGCCCCGCATGCGCAGACACACCTTCCTCGAAGCCCGCCACATCCCAGCCAAGTCGCACCCCGGATGTCGCCCCTCCTTCCCCTCGACAGGCGTGCTGGGCCGGGCTCCGAACACCTCGCCCACCAATCAGAAAGCTAGGCCCTGAGGCCGAGTGCCCCGCCCACCACGTGCAACGTTCCAAAGCCCCGCCCCCGCGCTGTCACTCACCGTAGGTCCCGTTGCAGCACGTCACAGATGAAGGCCTCATAGCGCAGCACTTTCTCCCCCGTGGCCTCCACCGCCCGCCGTTTAGGGGGCGTCGCCATGATGGGCTCCTGAGGGATGGGGAGAGGGAACACCACGTTGACCACTCAGTTTGGCCTCAAGTGCATTACATCTGCACCCTCCCAGCGTTGGGACTGGGCTCGTCCGGCTCATGCTGGGGGTTCCGCCTTCGGCCCCTCCCAACTCTGGGCTCCCGCCACCCAGGGACACCCAAACACGGCCGTTACCTTAGAGCCGCCGGCAATAAGAACGGTTGGTAGGAACCGCGGCTTCCGGGTGGCGCGGGGGAATGACGTACGACGAGGGCGCTGGCCAACCAAATAGCCAGGTGTGGCGGGGCCGTCCCGAGCGGAGGCGAGCAGGGCGGGGCTCTCCGGAGCCCGCGGAGATTCCGGAAGCCCGCGAGCGTGGGCACGGGGCCGCGCCGAGCCTGTGCGGGCCTGTGTGCCGCTGCGGCTGCGGCCGAGCGGCGGCCGGCGGCTGCTGCGCGGGTGGGGCGCCCAGGTGGAGGTGGCACAGAGCAAAGCGTTTAGTAGTGTTTGAAAGTCAGAGCTTCGGAAGCAGATGGGCAGGAATTGGTTACGGTTCTGGTCTGTCAGAAGGGGAGTGCCTCCCTGGGATCGAGCGCCCTGGATTTGATTTTTCACGCGGGAGGTTTGAGTTTGACTCCTGTTAATGGGAATGAATGAGCATTAAAAAAATTTTAAACGGAGACAAATTTTCTAAGATTCGTCTTTGATGACTCCAGCTCTGTAGCCCTTGCTTCATAGCTAGAGTTCCAGCAGAGATTGATAATACACTGTCTAATCACCTCATTTTATAGGGGTGTCAAATGGAGGGTCGCTGAAGTCCGCTGCCCAGGATTGGCTGTCTTGTAGTTAGAAATAGTTCCTATGTTTTTATTTAAATGTGTGGGCTCTTTATTAATTTATTTTCATGCTCTCAAGTTACTGAGTGAATTTATTTCCCATGTTAGGTTTTAAAATAATAGCGTCTAACCCAGCAAGTCCAAGCCTGAGCCTGAAAGGAGAACCCAGATGCCAGATCCCCCAAAATGTGTGTAAAAGCAAGTTTTTAAAAAAATGCTTAAAACCTAAGCAAGTCAAACCTTTCTTTGCCCTTAGAACAGGAGATTATACAGAGGGCAAATAAGCACACAAAAATTTGTTCAACATCGTTAGCCACTGGGGAAATGCAAACTAAGACCACAACAAGATATCACTCCATACCTATTAGAATAGCTAAAATAGAAAAGAGTGACAACACCAAATGCTAGTGAGGATGAGGCGATATTGGAGCTCTCATACCCTGCTGATGGGAATGTAAAATGGTACAGCCACTCTAGGAAACAGTGTGGCAGTTTCTTAAAGAAATGAAACATCCACTACCATGCAACCCAACAATTGCACTCCTGGATATTTATCCTAGCGACATGAAAACTTAAGTCCACACAACAACCTGTACACAATTGTTCATAGCAGCCTTATTTGTAATAGTCAATAGGTGACTGGTTAAACACGTGATACAGCCACACCATGGGATACTACTCAGCACTAAAAGGAAGGGACTAGCGATACCTGCAATAGCAGGGAGGGATCTCCAGGGCGTTATGCTGAATGAGAAAAAGGTGCATCTCAAAAGCTCACATACTGTATAATTCCATTTATAAGACATTCTCTGAATGACACAATTATACAAGTGGAAAACAGATTCGTGGTTGCCAGGAGTTAGGGATAATGGGGAGAAGGGTGGGTTTGACTATAAAAGGGTAGCATGGGGCAGATCATTACAGTGAGAGAATTTTTCTCTATCCTGATTGTGGTAGAGGTCACTGAATCTGCTTATGAACTGATATAGTTTTTCCTCGTGGACAATACAAATCACATAACTGACCCCATTTTCCTTTTTTCTATAACTGTAGGAAGGTCAGAGACAAATTCACAGCTAAGCACAGAAGTGAATTTCATGCCTACATCCCAATTTTCCCTGATGTTAATCTTCTACTTGCTTTATATTTTCTGTGATCCTACCTTTATTTTTCAATTTTATGGGATGTTTTGCCATCAGGTTCCAAATATCCAGGGGGAAATAGAGTAGGCAGTGAATGAACAAATAAGCCATAACTCGTCTGGGCCTCAGTCATTTCTTGCTCTTCTGGGTAAAGGCAAGACAGAGATGTCTCAGTCAGAGCTAGGGGAGACCTGTGGGGAGGAGGTTGGATGGGAGAGAAGGAAAATACAAATGTTCTTTTAAGGGGATCTTTTGCAGAGCAATGGTTTTAATTTTGAAGTCCGATTTATTGGTGTTTCACTTTTTTGGATCATGCTTTTGGTGCCACGTCTTCACAAGCCCTAGCTCCCAAAGATTTTCTCCTGTGTTTTATTCTGAAAGTTTTGTGGGTTTATGTTTTACATTTAAATTTATGATGTTTTTAAAAACAGCTTTATTGAGATCTAATTCGCATACCATAAAATTCACAATTTGAAGTGTACAATTCAATGGTGTTTAGTATATTCACAGAGGCGTGCAAACATCAACTCAATCTGATTTTAGAACATCTTCATCACCTCAAATTGAACTCTTGTGCCGACTCCTCAGTCCACTCCAGCCCTAAGAAACCACAGATTTATTTTCTGTCTCTATAGATATGTGTATTCTGGACATTTCATATAAACGGTATAATACAATATGTGGTCTTTTGGTCTGGCTTCTTTCACTTAGCATAATGTTTTCAAGGCGTTTTCATCCATGTTGCAACATTTATCAGTACTTTATTCCTTTTCATGACTGAATAATATTCCACTGTATGTATATACCACATTTTGCTTATCTATTTTGCCAGTAGAGTGACATGTAAAGTCCTTACCTCCCTTTAAGTTCCTTGACTCTCTCCCTTTTATACTATTAAATATTTCCTCTACATACATTGAAACCACATCAGCAATATTATGATTTTTGCTTCATTCATCAAACACAATTTAGAAAACTCAAGAGGAGGTGTAAAATCTATATTATTTACCCCCCTTTTTTTTTCACTCCTTCAGGTGTTCTGTCTTCTTTTCTGATGTTCCTTTGTGCTGTTAGTTGGGAGAAAGAAGATATATCTTGTATTAGTTAATAAATTACCACAAACTTAATGGCTTAAAACAGCAGAAATTTATTTTCTTACAGTTCTTGAGGCCAGAAGTCCAAAATCAAGCTGGCAGCAGGGCTGGTTCTTTCTGGAGACTCTGAAGGAGACTCTGTTTTCTGCCTCTCTCCGAGCTTCTGGTGACCGTTGGCAATCCTTGGCGTTCCTTGGCTTGTAGGCACGCCACTCCACTCTCTGCCTCAGACTTCACATGGCATTCTCCCCGTGTCTCTGTATGTCTTCTCCTTTTCTATCTCTTTAAGTATACCCGTCATTGGATTTAGGACCCACTCTAACCCAGGATTATCTCATCTTGAGATCCTTACCTTAATTACATCTTCAAAGACCCTTTTTCCAAATAACGTCACATTCTGATGTTCCAGGTGGACATATATTTTAGGGGCCACTATTCAACCCACTGCACTGATATAATATTGGTATGTAAAACTCTGTTGACCTAAATTTGAGTCAGAAGTATCAATATAACTCATGATGTATTTTATGATTAAAAGTTACTTATTTCCTAGCTCTGCCCACTGAAAAGACTTAGAAGCAATGGTCAATGCAGTGGCAATGAGCATTCCTAGTGTCTGCATCGGAGTCCATACCGTTGCCCACTAAAAGCAGACAGGGCCCCTTTGCAAAATGACTGGTTTCAGGACTAGAGGGAAGTGTGTAAAATGATATTGGAACATCTCGTCATTTCAGCTAGCAAGGAAGCTTTCAAAGGCTGCTATATTCACGTCAAGTGAACTCAGAAACCAATAGAAGAAGTTTCCAATGATGAAAGATGGGACAGTTTGAGCATCAGTAGGGACAACTGCAGTGGATTGAAGCACATTCGCTATGTTCAAATCCAAGAGTTCATATCAATATGAAACAACTCATCGGTCATATGTGGAGGTGCTAGCAAAGCACGTCGTTAATTGGAAATATGTTTACATAAAAGAAAAGAATCAAACATTTATCCTGCATTTCATAAGAATGACCTTTGCAGGGCTGGCCCTGTGGCTGAGTGGTTAAGTTCTTGAGCTGCGCTTTGGTGGCCCAGGGTTTTGATGGTTCGGATCCTGGGCTCGAACCTAGGACGGCTCATCAGGCCACACTGAGGCAGCATCCCACATAACATAACTAGAAGGACCTACAACTAGAATATACAACTATGTACTGGCGGGCTTTGGGGAGAAGGAGAAAAAAAAAGAGTGACCTTTGACTTAAGATAAGCAAATAGTTGATGAGAGAAAGTTTTTCTTTATAAAAATGCTATTCTAATAAATGGAGTGATAGAAATAGAGTATCATTATTTTGCAAAACTTTTTGAGTTAGTGTAACTAGTGCGACCACCAAATTACTGCTAAAATCACACAAAAAAGGGCAGACAATCTGACATCCCAATCTGATGGAAGCACATTGGTTACAGCAGCTATGAAGTATTTTTGAAAAAAAATTGCATCAGAATCTTATCAATAGATGTAACCACCAATTTACCAGAAAATATAGGGAACAGAGGAACATGTAAAATAATGCCAAGGGGTGAATTTGGAACTTCATTCCAAATACATTCATTTGGAACTTTTTCAAGACTCTCTCTTTTCATCAACACGTACATGCAAGGAGTGATTAAAAAAAGGTGGATGAGGAGCACGTAGATTGAGAAATTTAAGAAATGTATCAACCAATTATAATGTGTGAGCCTTACTTGCATCCTGATTCAAACGAACAATTGATTCAAAAAGGTATGAGACAATTGCGGAAAGGTGAACCCCGGATACTTGCTGATAGTCTGGAATTGTAACATTTTTAGGTGTGCTAATGATGTTACAGAAATTATTTTCAAAGGCATTCTTATTTGGGGGAATAACATTGAAAATACTCAAGAAGAAATGATAAGATGTCTTGGATTTGCTTCAAAATAATTCAGGGGAAAGAAGATGGGGATATAGAAGAAGTTTCAGAGGCTGGCCCCGTGGCTGAGTGGTTAAGTTCATATGCTCCACTTCGCTGGCCTGGGTTTTGCTGTTTCGGATCCTGGGCATGGACCTACACACCGTTCATCAGGCCATGCTGTGGTGGCATCCCACATAGAAGAACTAGAACAACTTAAAAGAAAAAAGACTTAGAAAGACTTAAAAGAGAGAGAGAAAAAAAAGAGGAAGAATTGGCAACAGATGTTAGCTCAGGGCCAATCTTCCTCACCAAAAAAAAGCATACCTTTTAAAACAAAAAAGAAGTTTTACACCTTGTATTTGGCAGTTATGTCTCAAGTCATAACAGTCCCTTTCTTTTTTAAATGAAATTGATTTGGTGGAGAATTCTGGTCGTTTTGCCTTGTAGAATGTTCCACAATCCGGATTCAGTGATTTTGAAAAATCATGATGTCTTTTAATTTCTTTTTCCATTCTTGATATTTCTTGTAAACATGAGTTAGATCCAGATGCTGGATTACATTTAGGTTCAATTTTTGCTTTGTTCGTGCTTCATCGGGGGTGCTGTGTGCTTCCTATTGCCTTGTATTCCTGTTGATAGACATCATGTCTGTCATCCTGCCTTTAGTGACGTTAAAGGTGGTATCAACTGGGTTTTGAATTACTGCGTAATTGTTTACAATATTCTGTAAGTCTTTTAAAGTAACTATTGTCTTTGTAGTTATTTCTCCCTTTTCATTCTGTTTTCAGGGTGCTGTTTCTCTCCTTTTTTCTTAATTAGTTTTGCTGCATGTTTACCCTACTAAGTATTTCAAAGAATTAGAATGAGCACTTTTTTCTTTAAAATATTTTTATTATGGGTATTTTCAAACATACATTAAAGTGGAGAAAATATTATAATGACTCCACCTTGTACTTACTACTCAGCTTCAACAAGTATCAACCTTTTGCCAGTCTTTGAACGGAGGTTGTTTTTTTTTTAAACTTTTAATTCAGAATAATTTTAGGTTTACAGAAAAGTTCCAAAGATAGTATGAAGAGTTTCTGTATACCCCTTGCCCAATTTTCCCCATTATTAAGATCTTAGGGTTCCATGGTATATATGTCAAAAATGAAGAAACCAACAGTGATACATTGCTATTAATGAAAACTCCAAACTTCATTTGGATTTCACCAGTTTTTTCCATTAGTCTTTTTTCTGTTTTAGAATCCAATCCGGGTACCATATTACATTTAGTTGTCATGTCTCCCCAATCTCCTCTGGTCTGTGACAGTTTCTCACCCCCTCCTTGTTTTTCATGATCTTGACAGTCTTGAGGAGTATTGGCCAGGTATCCTGTGGAATGTCCCCCAATCTGGATTTGTCTGACGTTTTTCTCTTGATTAGACTGAAGTATGGGTATAGGTGGGAAGATGACAGTAGAGGGTGTTTTTTGCATGAGACTCTTTAGACACTTGTTGTCCTGCCTCTCTCCATCTTGGGAGGTGACCCAAGTTCTGCCCTCTGCAGATAGAGAGGGCCAAGAACTATTTGACTCCAGACCCTCCTGCTGAGGGTAAGTTGAAGTAAACCAACGTCAGAAATCTCTCCTGAGATTCTGCAAAACCATGACATTCTAGTCCTTTCTAATGCTTTGGGGTTCAATAATAATTTTTGAGCAAGCCAGGTCTCAATTTATAGTGCTCTGTGAAATGGTTATTTATCTTTCTGCTCAGAAAGATGATTATTTACTTATCTTTTCTGGCTCAGAATCAATCCTGCCAGAATCAGTCTTGCTCTCAGTATGAACACTCTTGAATGTGTGCATGTCTTTGGCGCCTCATCTCCCTCAGCCTGCTTTGTTTTTCCAAAAGAACTTAACACCACCCGATGTAGAATTTATTATTAAATTTCTGCCTTCCCATCACAATCCCTGACTTCAAAGCATACTACAAAGCTACAGTAATCAAAACAGCATGGTACTGGTACAAAAGCAGATGCACAGATCAATGGAACAGAATTGAAAGCCCAGAAATAAAACCACCCATCTATGGACAGCTAATCTTCGACAAGGGAGCTGAGGGCCTACAGTGGAGAAAAGAAAGTCTCTTCAACAAATGGTGCTGGGAAAACTGGACAGCCACATGTAAAAGATTGAAAATTGACCATTCTTTTTCACCATTCACAAAAATAAACTCAAAATGGATCAAAGACCTAAAGATTAGGCCTGAAACAATAAGTCTTCTAGAAGAGAATATAGGCAGTACGCTCTTTGACATCAGTTTCAAAAGAATCTTTTCAGACACCATAACTCCTCAGAGTTATGGGAAACAATAGAAAGAATAAACAAATGGGACTTCATCAGACTAAAGAGCTTCTTCAAGGCAAGAGAAAACAGGATTGAAACAAAAAAACAACCCACTAATTGGGAAAAAATATTTACAAGTTATTTATCCAACAAAGGGTTAATCTCCATAATATATAAAGAACTCACACAGCTCAACAACAAAAAATCAAACAACCCGACCAAAAAATGGGCAGGGGACATGAACAGACATTTCTCCAAAGAAGATATAAGGATGGCCAATAGACACATGAAAAGATGCTCATCATCACTAATCATCAGGGAAATGCAAATCAAAACTACACTAAGATATCACCTTACCCCAGTTAGAATGGCAAAAAAAATCCAAAACCAAAAGTGACAAATGTTGGAGAGGTTGTGGAGAAAAAGGAACCCTCATACACTGTTGGTGGGGATGCAAACTGGTGCAGCCACTATGGAAAACAGTATGGGGATTTCTCAAAAACTTAAAAATAGAAATACCTTATGACCCAGCCATCCCACTACTGGGTATCTATCCTAAGAACCTGAAATCAGCAATTCCAAAAGTCCCATGCACCCCTATGTTCATTGCAGCATAATTTACAACAGCCAAGAAGTGGAACCAACCTAAGTGTCCAGCAACTGACGATTGGATAAAGAAGATATGGTATATATACACAATGGAGTACTACTCGGCCATAAAAAAGGATAAAATCATCCCATTCACAACAACATGGATGGATCTTGAGGGTATGATGTTAAGTGAAATAAGGCAGATAGAGAAAGATGAACTCTGTATGACTCCACTCATAGGTGGAAGTTAACATTTAGACAAAGAGAACTGATCGGTGGTTCCCAGGGGAAACGGGGGGGTGGGGGGAGGGCACAAAGGGTGAAGTGGTGTACCTACAACATGACTAACAATAATGTACAACTGAAATTTCACAAGGTTGTAAACTATCATAATCTTAATAAAAAGAAAAAGAAAACTTCTGCCTTCCACCAGTGGAATGTAAGTTCTCCGTGTGTGCTGTGGTTTGTGATTGTTCACTGCTGAATCCTCAGTGCCTTTGTGTAGCAAGTTCTGAATAAATAGCTGAATGGATTTAACAACGAGCGAGCCAGAGGTGAGGGCCTGAATGCAGGCACAGGGGCCTGCAACACAGGTGTTTTGCCAGCAGGAGGAGCTCCAAGATATCTGAATGGAATGGAACCTTTCATTTGCTAGTGCTTTATGGTGCCCCGCAGAGTTCTAGCCTAGCGCTTCTCCAATTTAACCACGCGCCGGAAACCCCTGAGGATCTTATTTGGGACAATGCTCATTTTTATTCAGGAGGTCTGGGTTGGAGCTCAAGATTCTTCATTTCTAACACGTTCCCAGGTCATTTTGCTGGTCCACACATCACAGATGAATTCGCAAGATTGTATGGCCATCTCCTAGGTATGTTAAGGAATAACAACATCCCCAATAATTCCAAAGCTTGAAGTTTCTTTCTATAGAAATGTAGTGGTTAGGAGAGTTTAGGATTTGGAGACAGACAGACTTACACTCAAATCCTGACTCAGCCACTTTCCCACCGGGCATGTCAATAACCCTGTCTGTCTTAGGCTGGTAATCATCTCTGTGCCTAAGTTTCCTCAGCTATTAAATGGGAGGAATGATATGTACTTAGTGGAGGTATTATAAGAGTTAAGTGGGCAAATGCAGGTAAAGTTCTCAGGACAATCTCCAGCACATAGTGGGTCCTCAGTAAATGGCACTTAAAAAATTAATATGAATATAGTAGAGCACTTTACATTTTAAAAGGCTTTCCCATATGTAGACTGGTCTCCTGCCATGAGATAGCTAATGATTGAGGTTGCATTGCTGTTGATTGATGGTTGGTGATGGAACAGGACTCCAGATTCCACTGGTTCAATGGGGAATGGGGTTGACCTGGCCAGCTATATTCTGAAGCTGGAACTATTAGTCTCTTCCTCATGGGCAGCAAGGCCCAGAGTCCTCTTTTCTGACGCTGGGCGAGACACAACTATCCTGAATTCTTATGACAGCAGTGTGTGAATGTGTAGGGAAAGAGGAGGAGCTCAAAATTAGTGTATGTGGCAGCATCTGGGCTTGTGACTGTGAAATGTGGGAAGCCTGGATTCTCTTGGCTCCACTGTTTCAGGAGCCTGCCTGTCTCCTGAAAGAGACACAGGGGAGGAAATAACAGCTCTGGGTTGATGACAAATTTGTCACAAGTGTGTAGGAATTTGATCCTTCTCCAACAGGTAGACATCAGGTAGACATTTCTCTTTTGCCCGGCTAGGAGTTTCCTAAAACAGACTATAGAAATTGCTCATCATGTTTTGTCAGGTCTCTGGGCTGTCTGTGGGTAGGGAGGGACTACACAGAAACACTCTCATTCAGCTCCACACCCAGGCTGACTGCCCTCCCCTGGGCATCAGATTCTGCTGAGTGCTGTGGGTGGACACGATAGAAGGAGATAAAAATATCTTTGTCTCAAGAAATCCATGTTCTTACTGGGAAAATAATTTTTTCAGTCATTTAGTGTTTTGCTCATGCCTACGTCGAGGACTGTGCTCAATATTTGAGAAAGAGGAATAAGTCTGGAAGAACTCAGAGTCCAGTATTGGGAATATAAGCTAAGGCATATGTTAGAAGTGTGGTTAGAGTTATGAGACTGGATATGGTAGGTTGCCTTGGGAATGAGTGTGGACACTGAGCCTTAGGGTAGAAGACCCATCTAAATATCTTCTGAATCGGATCTCCATACCACGGGGCTATCACCTCACTCATCCTCCTGTGAACATTACAGGAGAGGATATCTCAGTGAGACAGAACCTTTGTGATTTTGCTGGAATCAGTAGCGTTCAGGTATGTGGTTGTGGACTTCCCCCAGAGAGGAGTGGGATCTACTGGACCTCACTCAGGGGGCCCCCCTACAGAAAGGTGACGTTGAAGAACTACAACAGTCTGGTGACAGTATGCACAAATGGCATCATTCCTTCACTTAGTCGTTTATGGGGCAAGTATTTCTTAAGCACCTATGGTATTCCAGGATCTGGGCTGGGGACTGGGACAACACCAATACGTGAGATAGAAATGGTCCTTGCCATCAGGGGACTTGTTGTCTAATGACTTCCCTGTGAGAATGAAGACCTCTCCTTTTCACTGATTTTTCGTTTCCTCCGTGGTTAAAAAGCTTAGGGTTCCTTACACGTGTATCTAAGCTTGGGCATGTGTTTCGGATTTCAGAGATTCTCAATGTAATGGGAGTGCAGAATGGGTATTTGAGTTTGGGATCCCTTTGAAAGACCTACTGGACTGATGAGAACTTTGGTATGCTCATTTGCCGTTCTTACAGTCATACTTGTCTGTCTTCAGAACCCCTGAGGGTGAAAATGTTGGCAGCTGTTTCCTCTGCACTTCATGTACTCTTCCCCAAGAGCAGGACATCAACCATGCAAACCAGGCCTAATCTCAGAGAAAGATCTGTTTATCTTCTTTAAATTTAACATTTTTGTATGGGCTCTTAATTTCTCCCCACCGGGGATTTTTGATGATGACTTCTTTTTGTCAACATCAATCTCAATTGTCATAGAATCATTGTTAGTATGTTGCCTAAAATGTCTAAACCTTATCCCTATAATTACCAATATGCCCATACAGCCAAGGTTCTCAAAGTCTGTCTTTGCTCATGACTGCATTCTTTTCCAATTTATGGTCTGTGTTTTGTGGGAAAGCCTTTGGTGATTCCTTTCCCTTAGGAAGCGTGCGAGAACTCATGCTGGAGGGGAACTGTGGATGCTTTCCCTTACTGTGTACAAGGGTAATTAAAATGGGAGTGAGACCTATAAATGTTATGAATATATAATTGCCTTTGTCAGTGTCTCATCTTCACAATGGACCACTAGGTCATTAATTTTTGTCCTTTTGCAATGTAAACATTTAAGACTATAAATGTCCCTTTTAAATAACTCTTTAGCTATATCACACAAGGCTTACTATGTAGCATATGCATTAGGATTTTATTCTAAATATTGTCAAATTTCCATAATGACGATTTAAGTGATCCATGGGTTATTTAGGAGTATTTTATGTAATTTTCAATATATGGATATTTCAATTACATTTTTGTTTTATAATATCAAATTGTGTAACAAAGAACTTTTGTCTTCATTAAATTAATTCTTTGATATTTGTTGGGACTTGTTTTCTGCCCTAGTATAGTACATACTTCTAGCTACTTATTTATTATCCATTCTCCCCTTCTGTGCTTAGAAAATCCTGATTTTCCTCAGCTTAGTAATGTGCACTGTTAAATATAAACTATCTCCCAGGCATTTCTTTGCAGCATAAGACCCATAGTCCTGGTCAACGGGACTTAAATCATTGGGTGGTGCTTCAGAGAAACTCCTGAAAAGGGAAGTGTATCATCAGGCTTATTCTCTTCACATTTTTCTCTTTACCCTTTCCCATTCTTCCCATCAGGAGAGTGAGCACGATGCCTAGGGTTGGAGGAGCCATCATATAGCCACAAGGATTATTGTAGTCTGCTTGGGTGTTATTACAAACTACCATAAACTGGGTGGCTTATAAACAACAGAAACTTCTTTCTCACAGTCCTGGAGGCTGGAAGTCTGAGATCAGGGTGCCAGCATAGTTGAGTTCCGGTGAGAGTCCTCTTCTGGGTTGCAGATTGTCAACTTCTTGTTGTATCCCCATATGGCTGAGAGCAGAGCAGAGGAAGCAAGCTCTCTTGTGATTCTTATAAGGGCACTAATTCCATTCATGAGCGCTCCACCCTGATGACCTCATCTAATCCTAATTACCTCCTAAAGGCCCCACCCCCCCAAAACCATCACATTGGATGGTAGAGTTTCAACATATGAATCCTAGGAGGACACAAACATTCAGTCCATAACAAGGATGAAAACCACAGGCTAAGGATGGTGTTACAAAAAGACAACATTGTGGCTCCACGATGCCAGCTTTGAGTGGCTGCATCAACCCAAGACTGCTTATTTCTGGACTTCTGGTGACATGATAAAAGTAAACTTACTTTTGGTTTAAGTCACAATTTTGTGTGTGGGATGGTTTCTATTACAGCTGAATGAAACCCCTGAGTAGGTTTTTTTAAAAAAATAAATTATCCATGTGTGGTTGAAAAAAATGTATATGCTATAATTGTTAGTACAAATTTTCATATATATGTCTATTAGATTGTGCTTGTTAAATGTGTTTTCAAGTCCAATATGTACTATTGAATTTTATTTTTATTTCAACCTGTTGAAATCTTCTCTTAAGGTTATGCATTGTTAAATTCTCCCTATAATCTTGACATATTTTTCTTTATTTTTTGAGGCAATGTTACTAAGTACAAAAACATTTAGACATTTTATTCCTTTCTGGTAAATCGTTCCTTTTACTCTTATGTAGCAATCATTTTTTTGCACTAACAATGAGTTTTCATTCATTTGTAATAACAAAGCACTTGCCAGGCACTGTTCCAAGGGCTTTCCATATATTATTTCATTGAATCCTCTCAAAAACCCTGTGGAGGAAGTATTGTTACCCCCATTTTACAGATGAGGAAAATGAGGCAGAGAAACTTTAAGGAACTGGACTGAGGCCATTCTGATAAGTGGTAGAGCCCAGATTTGGGCTGGATTTCTAGCCCCATAGTCCATACTCTTAACCAACATGCTATTTGTTGAACAATCCTGTTGTGCCAGGCCCTAAGCAATGGGGACAGTAGTGAATCAAACAAAGTCTTACCCTCATGGCACTTAATTCTAGTGGCAGGGATGAGGTGGGGGTGGGAGAAGATTGATGATAAACTAATAAGTGCAATGAAATGGCATGCAGAGAGAGAGAGAGAGAGAGTGAGTGTGGAGGTTGAGGTTTCTATTCTGTAGAGGATGGGCAAGGAAAACCTCCCAGTCAAGGAATATTTGAAAAGAGACCTAAGTGAATTGAGAGAGCAAAGTTCCTGAAGCTGAGTGTGGGGCGTTCCAGCAACTGCAAGGAGACCAGTGAGCCTGCAGTCGAGCAAATAAAGGCCAGAATGGAAGATGGTGCAATCAGAGATGTAGCAGGTCCTGATCACATAGGCCTTATCTCATTGCAAGGACTTTGCCTTTTATTCTCAATGAGGTGAGGATCCATTAGAGGATTCTGAGCAGAGATATCAATGACATCACTTATGTTTTTAAAGGACCATTGTGGCTATCATATTTAGAATTGACTGTAGAGGGGTGAGGGCAGAAGCAGGAAGACCGGTTAGGAGGGCGCTACGAAATAGAAGTGAGAAATAATGGTGGTTTGGACCAGGGTGGCAGCACGGAGGGGGCAATGAGTCATTCGATTCTGGATATATTTTCAAAATAGAACTGACATTATTTTCTGATGGGTTGGATATGGGCATGTGAGAGGAAAAAAGAAATCAAGAATGACACAAAAGAGGGGGGCAAGCATTTCTGACATGAGCAAATCAGAATATCCGAGTTTCCAGCTCCTTAGGGGGAAAGGCTGTGGGAACAGCAGGCTTGGGTGGTGGTGGTGGGGAGAAAGGGGTTAGATCGTTGACCTGTTAAGTTAGATATGCTTATATGGCATCTAAGTGGAGAATGTCTGTGTGCAGTTTTCTATGAGTCCGAAGGTAGAGGAAAAGCTGCAGATATTAATTTGAGGGACTTGGGTTTATAGATGGTACTTAAAGCCGTGAGACTAGATGCTATCACCTAACGAGTGAGTGTAGACGGGAAAGAGAAGAGCCTGGGGCACTCCAACTTCTCCAGGTTGGGGAGATGAGGAGCAACCAGCAAAGGAGATTAAGAGAGTGGACCATGAGGTAAGAGAAAAAAGAAAATCGCATCTAGGAAGGCAAGTGCTTAGTGTGTTTCAAGAAGAGAGGGATCAAGTTTATCAGATGCTGACAGGTCATGTAAGATGAGGAATTTCCTGTAAGTGTAACATCATTGGTGACTTTGTCAAAAGTTGATTCAGTGGTGATAGGGGCAAAATCTTGCTTGGAGTGGGTTACAGAGAAAGTGGAAGGATAAGAATTGGAGACAATGAGGATAAACAGCATTTCTTTTTGCCCTTAAAGTCTACTTTGTCTAATATCAATATAAGCATAAAAGTTTTTTTTGGTTATTATTTATTTTGTATAAATAAATTTATTTGGTATCTTTTTTCCATTCTTTTTCATTGTGGTAAAATATGGACAACATAAAATTTACCATTTTAACCATCTTTCCCTTTTCCATGCTCTTACTTTCAATCTTTCTGGGAACTTAGTTTTTGTTGTGTCTTTTGTAAACAGGCGAAAAGTCATGATAGGATTTAAAATTTTCTACTCCCTTGTACTATCTTGATATAGGTAAAAATATTCATAAACATTTATGTGGTTTTGGATGCTTGAAAGCGCAAATAGCCTTTACAAGAACAGATATAAATGATATCTTCAGAGCAGGGAAAACGGATTGAGAGAAAATTAAGAACAAAAAACTTTGGTATAAAAAAAGGCTATAAAGAAAAGGAAGAAAACAGAAACAGATAAATAAAAATAGGACAAATAGAAAGCACACAATATGATGGTAGAAAGAAATCCAAATATGTTAATAATCACAATAAGTGTAACAGACTAAACTCACCAGCGAAAAGATAGATATTGTCATTGGGATAAAAATCTGTTTATAGGACACATCTAAAACATAAGGAGAGAAGGTTGAAAGTCAAAGAATGGTGTAGTTATATTAATAGCAGACAATACGGACTTTAAGGCCAAAAATACTAAAAGAAAATAACTGCACGATGAAAAAAAAGTTTAACTCCCTAAGAAGTTTTGATTCTAAACTTAAATGCACTTA